TATAGTGAACTCTTACAATTCAACAGTAAAAAGACAAATACCCCAGGCTAAAAATGGCAAAAGATTTGAGTAGGTATTTCCCCAAAGATGATATACAAATGACTGATAAACACGTGGGAAGATGTTCAGCATTATTGGTTATTAGGGAAACACAAGTCAGAACCACAGTGAGATACCGCCTCGTTATACTGAAGATGACTAAGATGAAAACAGCAGACCATAACCAACCAGGAAGGAATTGGACATTTTGAAACTCCCATACATTGTTGGTAAACTGTAAAATGATGCAGCCACTTTGAAAAAATGGCCTGGGAGCTTCTCAGAATGTTAAACATGGAGTTACCATATTATACAACAATTTCACTCCCAGGAATATACTCAAGAGAAATGAAAACATATGTTCACATAAACACTTTGCACACAGATGAATGTTCACGGCAGCTCTGTTCATGATAGCCCAAAAGAGGAAACAACCCAGATATCTACCAACTGATGAATGGGTAAACAAAATGTGGTTTATTCATACAATGGAATGTTATTTAGCCACAAAAGGAATGAAGTACTAATTCATGCAACAACATAGATGAAACTCGAAAACATTATGCTAAGTGAAAGAAGCCAGTCACAAAAAAATCCCACACATTGTCTGACTCAATGTATATGAACTGTCCAGTATAGGCAAAGGCATATGAAGTGGAGACTGGATTTGTGGTTGCCTAGAACTGGGGAGGAGGGGTGAAGAATAAGGGGTGACTGCTAGTAGGTACAGGGTTCCTTTTGGGAAATGATGAAAATATTCTAACATTAGACAGTGATAATATTTACACAATTTTGAATATACTAAACCCATTGAATTGTATACATTAAATGAGTGGATTTTGTAGTATGTGAATTAGATCTCCAAAAAGGTATTATTTTAAAAAATAACTATCCTTGAAGAAGCCATTGGAGACTTCTCTTTAGTTAATGCCAGTTCCATGTTATCTGGGTATAGATAAACTGGGGGATCTGGTTGAAACTTGTCTTTTCTAGGGCCCACCTTTCACCCCACAGTTCGGGTTTTCCAAGCTTACCATGTTGCCCCCTGATTCCAGGTCCAGACACTGCCCCATTCGCTCTCCAGATCACCCATTTCACCTAGTTACCTGCTGCTAGCTTTCACATACCAGCCACCCTGGCTCCCAGAACAGCATTTTCTTACCCCCGTTCCTTTGAACTGTTTGCTTCCTTGGTGCTGTGTCCTGTACTGTGCTACTCAGTCCCTGAGGACAGTTGAGATACTGGTTTTGCTCACCATCACATGCCAACGTAGTCTTAGTTATCACTGAAGGAAAGAAGGAAGGAAAGAAGGAAGGAAGGAAGGAAGGAAGGAAGGAAGGAAGGAAGGAAGGAAGAAGGAAGAAAGGAAGGAAAGAAGGAAGGAAGGAAATATATGCCTGATAAAGAACATGTATGGAGCGGAAAGATATAGGGGCAAGAGAGAATACGGAAATGGAAGAAGGGGAGATTTAGGCTAAAGTTATATTACCATGAACCCGTTTTTTTCTGTTTCCTGACAAATACGGGTTTCTCAGCCCTATAGCCACGTTGACCATTTGAGCCTCTCAGATTCTAGAATGGCTTTTCTGTTTCCTATGAATCAAACCAAATCCTTGGCCTTTTAGAACACCCCAAACCTCGTTTTTCTATGTTTGGCTCAGAAATCCTAAGCGGGGAATTTAGCCGAAGAAACTAACAAACACCGGAACACAGAGCGGGGCAAAGGGACGAGCTCTGGAAGCCCATGCACGGAGCTACTGGGCTGGCATTATTTGCAACAGTCAGAAACCGCAAACAACTTCAGTGTGCAACAGTAGAGTAGTGCACACCCTGCCATGCCTGAAGATGAAGTAATGTGCACCCATTAGAAAATACAGCAACCTGAGAACATGCGTGTATCATACGTTAAGTGAAAAAAATCAGGTTATAAACTGGGGGGGGGGTAGGTTATAAAGTGATTGCTAATATGTAAATTGTGCACAGAAAAAAATAAAAACCGGGGGAAAAAATCTCACACCAGAATGGCATCTTCCTCATTTCTTTTTAAAAATGTATCCAGGTGTTCTACAATGAACATATGTGACTTTTATAACCGGGGGGAATACCCCAATTCTCTCACTCTTTCCACTGCTTTTTCTTGGGGAATTCACTCTCCACCTGCTTTGTTCCATTAACCCACATTCACCTCCGAATCCTCGTCCAGAGTAGCACTCCAAGCCCACAAGGACCAGCACCTTCCCAGGTGCTCCCTCCGGCCACTCAGGCAGCTCCCGAAGGTGCACATTTCCGGGAAGCCTTTCCTAATCATAAAAGAAAGAAAAGGTTGGCTCGCCGCAGTGCCTCCCCATCTCTCTTTGCTTGCCTTGTCTGAGAAAGTCTCCAGCTTCTTGGCTGGTGCTTGACCTCAAGAGACTGTTTCCTGATGCAGCCCAGCAGCTGCTGCCATTGGGCGCATGTGCATCTGCACCTGGCTGCTGAGTCTGAACTCCCAGAAGGAAGCTGGAGTTGAGGTCACAGAGCTCACCATTGTTGGATGATGAGGACGGTGGTGACGACTTTTCTGTGTGCACGTCCTGATTTGCCGTGGGAAAGACTTCTCATTTAAAAACCACTCAAGCAGTCTTAAAACAACTTAGGAAGTGATCAAAAGTGTTTGCATTTAACCTGGACTGGCAACCTTCTTAATGGAGTCAGCCCGACGCTCAGTAATATTGGTTGGGAGGAAATGAACATGAACCAATAATGCTGATGCAGCTCGAATGCACTTAGAATTTTTTGTGAGTTGATTTGTCCAGGTATATAGATGCATCTTATTGCTGAATTGGAATCATCTCAGGGAGACCCTTGAAGGAAAAAGGTAGTGTGTCAGCAAACATTTGAAAGCTTACCGTGGACCTAACCCTTACATCTCAGAGCACTTGTGAAATGCTGTGGCTTTATCAAAGAGGTAAACAAACCTGGAGTGATCTTTCCTGCAGAACTTCCTGGTCATGTGTTCCACCCACATGAAACATCACAAGGTCCAAGGACAGGATGGACTGTCTTGTGGTGCCTCCAAGAAAGGTGCATTCGTCTTGGCCCCTGTGGCATTTTGAGCTAATTACCCTGGCCTGGGTATGAAATGAGACGGGATTAAGGACCAAGATAGATCAGGTGTCATAGCATGGACCTTTGGTGGTTTTGAAACGGAGAAAAAAAGATTTGGTGTGCCGAGTGTGCTCATCAGCCTGGTATTTCACCTCTCATCTTAAACAAAGTAAACAAACCACGGACATATTTTTCTTCCCTGCAGAACTGCACCCTTTTCTTGTGATTGGGTTTGTGTACTGTTTGGCAATTGGAATTGAGTAGAATGAAGGTGGGGAAGCAGCTTTTCATTCCACCCTCTTCTCAAATATTTAAAGTAGAATAATGAGTGAATGACTGTCACATTTGTCACGACTCCTTTCCATTCCTGCCACCTGAATGCAGACCTCAGTCACACTTTTCTTAGGCCACGATCATTGACATTTTCTCCTGATGCATCCTGTCAAGACTGGAGGTGCTGAGACCTCTGAAGCAAAGTGTGAAAAAGAGTGGGTAGTCTTTATTCTGCCATCTGCAGAGTTTAGGTTTTTGCTTCATGGGCCCTATAAGCCAAGGGTGAAATGGAAATTCTGGGAGGACAGAGAGGTTTTGAGGGGCCAACGGGGGAAGAGACAGACTAGAGGTCAGGGGTGGCAGGTGAGAGGAAGCTCTGGGGGCACCTTCTGCGCTGTCATTGGGTTCCACGTGGGCTGTCTTCCTCGTCCTCCTGTGATGTCCTCAGTACAATGTCCATTTCTTGTTGGTATGCTATTGAGCTGAATCTGTTAGTTGAGGGGATTCATTCATTCAACAAATATTTACTGAGAACCTGACCCCGCCTGACAGTGCTCTAGATGCTGAGGATAAAGTAGTGAATAAAACATATCCCAAAATGATACAAAGTGGATCAATCTCCAGGGAATTGTGCTGTGTGAAGAAAAACCAATCCCCAAAGGTTAATACTGTGTGATTCCATTTATATAACATTTTTGAAATGATAAATTTTAGAAATGGTGGTTGGCGGGGGGTGAGGGATGGGAGGGGATGGTAGGAGAGAGGTAGGTGTGTGATTAAACAAAAAAGTGACATGAGACATCCTTGTGTTGATGACTGTAGAGGTGGATACAAGAACTTACACGTGTGTTAAAATTGTATAGAACTACACACACACACACACACACACACACACACACACGAGTACACATAAAACTGGGAAAATCCGAATAATGGATTCAGTATCTATGGATTGAATCAATGTCGATATCCTGGTTATGATATTATACTAAAATGCTACCTTTGAGGGGAATGGTGAAGTTCACAGTGCCTACATGTGAGCAGAAGCCGAGTAGGGCTGCAGGGAAAAAGCCAAACCATCTGCCCCTCCGGGGTATTCATGCACTGTCGTTGGAGATTCCTTCCCGTCCTCTGCCAGGCACCAGGCACCCCCGAGACTGCAAAGCTGAGACTCGGATGTCCATGGGGCTCCCAGTATTCACAGGGGGGCCCTGCGTGGCTTGCTCCTTGTTTCCTCCATCCCCACCGCCACGCTCCCTCCCTTCTGCCCCAAATGCTTGACAGCCCATTCATCTTGGAGAACCTTCTTTCCTGTAGAGACATGGGTGTGGCTCTGCTGCCCTGGTTCTCAGCATCAGGCAAGACCTCCTCGTGTGAGCCGGGCCTGGTATTCAATCCTGCATTCTAGCTGCTCGGCCATGGCCAGTTGAGGCGGTGTCCAGACCCTTAACCCCCTCCTGTAAAAGGTGGATTCCCACCCCCACCTGTCGAACCTTTGGTTGTACAATGAGCCATCTAGCTTGCTAAAACCATCTAGCTCTGTCGCTGTATTTTATTGCCTTAGAAGCACTTCAGAGGAAGGAAGCCATGTAAAAATAAAATAAGGTTGGAACAGACTTTCAAGTTTTTATTATTTTATATCACGTCATGCGTTGCATGGAATGACCACAAAGGGCTGGCCACATAATTCACTAACAGGGCATGGCTGAGAAAGCCAGAGCTCCCAGGTGCACAGTCCAGTCCACTGGGAAGAACGGAGAGAGGGAAGAGAGCGATGAATATGTGACAACGTAAGTTCTGATTCACGATCGTCGTCTTTACAGGAAAAAGTCTTTCCCAGAAGTGCTAGAGCCGATTAATAATACTTGATCAACTTTCCAACAAGAGTTACGGGAGGGATCACACCTGTGTTCTGCGGGAGCCTTGCCGGCGGGGCCGTCCAAGCCTGTCAGGTCTGTGAGGCCACGCGGGGCTCTGAGGCCTGGTCCTGGGCTTCCTGGGGAGGGGCCCATTTGCTCAGGTCCAAGTCTGCGTCTGGGATGAATAACCCGTGGAGATCCAGGTGCATGTCTACATCTACATATGCGCGAGCCAGTTCCGTAAAACTTTTGGCATCCAGAACAAGCAGAAAAGGTGGCTTTTGGGGATCAGAAGAGATGATGGCTGATAAGATAATTCCTTTGGGGAAACAAAAGGAGACACTTTGTAAAAGTGCAGCCTTGAACTTCCTCCAGGTGGAACGATACATTTCTCAGCTGTGTCTCCCTGTGCTCGTTAGACCGTCAGTATCTAATCCAAACAGAAGGGAAGTGAATTTGATATTCTGTGAGAGCAGCAGAGAAAGGCCAGGGAACTGGAAATCAGCAGACCTGCTTCCAGCCCTGGCTGCGCCAGACACTTCACCTCTCTGAACCTCAGTCTCTTCTTTTGTAGAATGGGGATAATGTTCTCTACCCTCTTAGGCTTGCTGAGAGGATCTCTTGCATGGTGAATTACAAAAGCACTTTGTAAATGACTGTGTGCACTGAAGAATGGCTGTTTCCCTACAACTTAGAAACTCTGATGATAGAGGATCAGTTTCGATGATGCATTTAGGCTAATACACATCACTCAACTAAACTCAGACTGGATGAGCATAATTCACCGCATGCACATGCAGCACATAGGCAGCCTCAGCTTTCCCTTCTGTGAAATGGAAACATTCTAAGCACTCACTCTCAAGGAATAGAGTTACAAGAAATAATGCACATAAACTTCCAGCCAACATTCGTGCTTCTTCCCAAGGCCTCCTGGGTGTCAGAGTGGCTGAGTGTAATTGAAGTCAGATCGGCTTGGACTCACGCCCTACCTCTGTGGGCACTGGGCGTGTGACCTTGGGCAAGTTACTTCATTCTTTGAGCCTCTCCTTTGGTGAAACGAACACAGTGCTCCTCCCTGCCCATGGAGAGAATGCACGGGATACGCTCAAGCAGCCCAGTGGGAGGCCAGCCTCAGCAGGTGGGGGTACCAACAACCCCCAGCTTCAGAAATGACCGTGACACGGGGTCCCCTGCCTGGCGCCAAGTCACGAATAATCAGTAGGTAGAAAACCACTCCCTTCTCACCTGAGGGAAGCAGCTGGCAGGCTTGGCAGGGCAGCCCCACCCATGGCTCTTGTTACCCTCCTTAGCACCCTCATGGGTGTAGGCAGGGCATTTCTGGGTCAAAGGCAGAATCAAAGAAGGAAAGGGCCATTTGTCACGTGGAAACCCAGAAAAGCCAGGTGGGCCTCAAATACACATTTCTAGTTGCTCCGAAGAAAGGTACATGCTTAAATAATGAAGAACTCTGACTCAGCCATGAAAATGAATTCTAAAACCAAGACGCCACACTCTGGGAAAGGGCAGTGTTGCTCAGGGGAAAGGAAGTGGGCTTCTGTGGAAGTGAAGGAAACAAGGAAGTAAACAATTTAATCCCCTTCGAGGGAGATCTGACCTTTGCTGCTAGGTGGTGACTTCTACCTGGGGCCAGTCAGACAACCTGTCCTCGCCAAGTGACTTAGATGGGAACTTTAAGCCACACAGTGGTCAGCTTGACCTCCAGAGGGGCTGAAGACTGAAGGTCAACCACGACTACAAGCCCCGACCCAGGCTCCGATGTGTAGGCCGAGGGGAGTTTCCAGGGTTGGCCACACTCCACGGATGCCAGTGTTGGGAGCAGGGAGTGTCCATGACTTCCCCGGGCGCGGGGAGGTTGGGGGGTGCTGGGGACAACTGGGAGCTCCAGCAAGCTTGCAGATAATGTCAGGGGTATGTGTGGTCTTGGGGCCTCCCTAGCCCTGTAGCTTTGAATTCATACAGGCCTGGGTTTCAGAGCATGACTCTACCAGCTGTGGCTGTGGGCAGGGCCACTGCCCCGCAGTGAGGTCTCTGTGTGAGAACGAGATCGCAAGCTGAGTGCAGTGGGTGGGCTCTCCTTCCCGGAGACCTACCGTCATCCTCGTCTTTGGTGCCCGGCGTGGGCACAAACAGGGGTTCCGCCGGCCAGTAGTGCTCCTCTTCCCATTTTAGGAATGACTTTGTGAGAATGTCATATTTGATCATCTGTACATGCAAAGAGGAGAAACATGGGGATGATGTGTTGGAAAGCAGGCTTATTTCCTGTGAGTAGGAAGGCACCAAGGCCCACAGAGAAAGCGGATTAAGCCCCTCAAGTGAAGACTCCGGAATGGCACGCCCTCTGGTAAGGACAGTGACTGAATGAAAGCAGCCAGCTTCCCCCTTCAACTCGGAGCAAAGGTCCTCCTGCCACCTCAGAGCTTACACTACGCACTGAATTCTTTTCAAAACAGAAACCCTGGAATTACCTAGTATTTGGCCCTACAGTGCAACTTGTTGATAGTTAAATAAACTAATATATTCAATGCAGATATTTAAAGTATAATACAATTCCTTTGTTGTTTTAAAAGTATAGATCACTGGACTTCTGTTAATCACCAAGAGTCCTGTTTCCCCTTAGGGTGTGGGAGTGTCTTGTGGTGTGTGAATGTGTGTGGGAAAAACTCAATTTTCTTACTTTCTTACTTCGTACTTTCTGTACTGCACATTAAAAAAAAAAGACTTTCTATTGTATTGTTAAAAATGAAGATATTAAGGGAAAGTAGTGTCTGTACAGCATTTAGCATAGTTCCTGGGGTAAGTATTCCACAAATAGTAGTTTAAAAAACAAAATAAATCTTTCAAGCTTCAGCTGTCCCCTCCCTGCTGGAGAGGGTGAGGCAGGGACTGGAACCCCCTGGACACTTCCTTGTCCTCCCTGCCTGCCGCCTTAGCGCTCCGAAAACACGTGTGGAATAAGGAACTCAACCAAACTCTAGAGTTTGGCTCTAGAGTTCGGCTACCCTCCTGAGCTTCAGCCCAGGAGGCGCAGCTCTCTCTCCAGGCTCATCACTGTTTCGAATGTATTTTGTCCCAAACTGACCTACTCTCTAACCTACCTCCAGTCCCCCAGGGAACCTCCCTCTTGCCCTCCCTTTTCTAATCAAGGTCACCCAGTCGGAGAATCTGAGAAGTCAGCTTTGTAGACAGGACTGTTGTAGGCCACGCACCTAGGGATCAGTACCTTGTTTGGGATGGGACTCCTTTGAATTTCAGCAGCAAAGACATACCGGTATCGCTTCCCGTTGTGAGCATAATTGATCTGAGGCAGTTCTAAGCCTAGAGAGAATGATACAGCTGATGAAGCTTCATCACCAAGGGCTGAGGGCATCCACCCTTTGTGCCTGGCCGGGTACCCTTTCTACAAATGCTGCTCCCAGGCCAGGACCCCTGAACCTGATTCAGGCACTGGACTGGATCAGGGTAGTCATAGGGCAGGGGGGAGGAAACTCTGACAATTATCCTGGCTCTATTAGAAGGTTCAGGAGCAAGGTTTTAAGTATATAAAAATCTTTAATTATCCAAGATAGAAATCAAAAGTAATTGCATGATTAAAATCAGAGGCTATTGCAATTTTTAAAAGCTCTTTTAAAAAAAGTCTCGTGTGCACACACGTGTGTGTGGGAGTGAAGAGAAACTTCTGACTCTGTGGAAGGACTGTCAATGGGAAATAGTTAAAATAAGTCTGGTGAATTCATATATAATAACACTATGTTAAAGTAATATTTACAAAGGATTTTAATAATGTGGGAAAATATCCTTATCATAAGGTCCACATAAAAGGATGACTATAGAATTATCTCCATTCTGTTAAAAATGAAGAGGAAAATTCTGAGAAGCATTGCTGGGGTGATAACCTCTCTATATTCAATGGTTTATATTTTGTATTGTACATCCTAAGTTTTTTATTGTATGAAATTTTCATTATACTTATTACTTTTGTAATCCAAAAAACCTTAACGTTTTGTCCAGGTAAATGCATATATATTTATATGTTCCTGTTGTGTCAAATTGAATGTCTAAGTCTGAGTACCAGAATGAAGGTCCTCCCCGTATGAACTAGGACCGGCAGAGGAGCTGGGTGCCGGGGACGATACAATGTCCGAGCAGAGAGGACGCGGGGACAGGCACATCTGCCACATCAAGGCCTCCGGAGAAGGGCCCGAGGCGTGCACGGTTATCGGGCTCAGCGAGGGGTGAAGGGGAGTGGGTTACTGAGATGGGAAGGTGTATCATCTCACAGGTGAGCAATCATGAACTTCCGAGAGCCAGGGCAGGATGAACAAGAGGAAGAGAGGCCACCCACATACTTCAATCAGAAAAAGATGCCCACGATCGGCCCTAACATAGGCCTGAGACTTCCTATGGTGCTCCTGGGCCCCTCAGACCTGGTTGGGGACCCACTACCCCACACTGTAAATGGCCGACCATAGGCACTTGATTTATAAAGTGTGATTCACCCCAGCAAATTCTGCATGACTATTAAGCCATGTTCTTCAAGAATCTTCAGATGTGGGAAAATTCTCAGACCACATTCATTAGGTGGAAGGAGCCACTTCAGAGTATTCTATGTGGTATGGAACAGATTCATCAAAGTATAAATGCAGAGGTTGAGGGGTTTTGCGTCAGAGAAACCTGGGTGCGGGTCCTGGCTTTGCTGCCTGTCTTTAGCCAAGTCGCCCTATTATTCTCAGCTTTTCTGTCCTCAGTTCTAAAAGAAGAATATTATGTGCCAACCCAGAGTTAGGTTGCCTGTTAGAGCTGCCTGTTAGAGTTGTTCTAATAATAATGGCTCCTTTTGGTGGGACTCTCAGTACGGGCCAGGCCCTGAGCTCAGTACATTGTGTTATGTGAATGATAACACGATGACGGTGCCGGGGTGAGAGGAGAGGATGTCTGAGCAGCTCCCAGCAGTGGGCCTGGCATGTGCCAAGCAACCCGTGCACAATAGAAAAGACTGGATGGATAATTCCAAAGGTTGTCCTGGGTGGAGGGACTATGAGGGATTTATCTCTTGCTATACTTTCCAGTATTGCCCAAGATTGCTGCAATAAACAGGAATTCTCTTCTCAGAAACAAGAAGACTGTAATGTTTTAAGCCTCCATCTGCCCACACTGCATGGCGTGGCGGGTCAGAGGACATGGAAGTTGATGCCTTAAGAATTAGAAACAAGATCTGTATTTACACTTTTAAAACCCCAAGAGTCTGGGTGCCGCACAGAACTGGTTATTGGATCCACGGGACGCTGTTTACAGAAATGGTCCTGGTGGGCAAATCTGAGGTCATCCTAGGAGAGTCCCCAGGATGGCACCCTTCCAGATGCCTGAACCTGGCATGGGGCAGCCAGCGTGGGGAGCAAGCTTTGAGTTTAGAGCCATGCCCTGCCATTCTCTGAGTATCCTGGGCAAGCCGGTTCACTATGAATTGAAGTGTTGAACTCAGGTCTAGCTAAGCTGGACTTTTGTACATGTTGGTGACAACACTGAATGCAAAAACATGGCCCTGTCCCACAGAGTTATTATATTCTAGGGCTGTGGTTCTCAGTCAGGGCGATGGTGCCCCCCGGGACATTGGAAATGTGTGGACATGTTTCTGGTTGTTCCAGTCCAGGGTGGGGGTGCTATTGGCATCTGGTAGGTTGAGGCTCAGGATGCTGCTCAACACCCTGCAATGCCCAGGACGGCCCCACCGCAGAGAATGACCAGCCCCAGGCATCAGTAGTGCCAGGCTGAGAAGCACTGCTCTAGTAGGCGTGACTTCTAGTCAAGGGGGTTTACATTGTGTGTGTAGCTCAAACTTTCTGAGGCCCAGTTACCTCCTCCGTGAAATGGGGCGGACAGCGCCTGCTGTGCAGGAAATTGTGGATGTGGAGAGGTGGAGACCCAAACACTCTGTGCCCACAGGTCGGCAGCGCAGCATTTGCAGAGTGCAGCCGTGCCAGTCCCTGGGGCCAGTGACCATCCCAGTGCCTTCCTGGGAGGTGTTGGAAGATGTACCAGACACAACTGTCTCCAAATGCTCTTCACTGGGATGTCCCAGAGAGCCCTCCTCTTTGTCCCTTGTCCGTGCATAGCATCTCTGAATTGGAAGGAGGTACTACGTGAAGGGGCCTGGGGGTCTTCATGAAGTCCCACCCTTCCCTAGCCACAGGGAGAGAGGATGTATTTACCTTCACAGAGCAACTCCGGCTGGCAGTAGACTTGGTCATCTTTCTCCTTCAGGGCTCTTGCTGTTGTAGATGCCAGTTTGATTAAATCTGAGCCTACTTCTGCATTCTGGAAGAATCAGTTTTGCAAAAAAAATAAAATAAAAATAAAAAGTTGTTATCAAGAGAAAACATTTGCTTTACTGTATACATTTTAAAAAAAATGCTTTTGCGTATGTCATCTTGCTGTGGCCTCTCATTACTCACAGGAAGCAGCTGTTACGTTATTGGCATTATCGGTTAAAAACGAGGGTTGGCGATATGAAGAGGTTCCCCCGAGGTTGTGTAGCTGGTCGGTGGTAGGACGGGGGCCCCTAAAACCATGGCTCTTTTTTTCTACTCTGGGCTGCCTTATCCCTCGCAGGTGAAATTAATGTACTTTTTAAGTACTGGATGATTCACCTGTAAAAGGCTGCATCAGTCATTAAAAGAATGTTTATAAAGAGTTCATAATAACATGGGAAATGCTCATGATAGAATGCTGAGTGAAAAGGCGGCAGAATACATTGCATGTGCAGTCTGAGCTCAGCCAGCTAAAAAGCTTACACTGGAAAGAGCCTGGGAAAAATATACCAAACGGTAACAATATGGTGGGCAGTGGCATTATGGGGACTTTAATTTCTTTTTCTATTCTTATCTGTATTTTCAGTATTTTCTCCTATGAAAATGTATCACTGCTGAAAAGAAAATAAACATGCAATAAAAATTACTTGGGAGAAATATACCTATCAAGGATGTTCCCTGGCCTCAAGTTATAAGCAGACCCTGCTCTGGTCAGTACCTTACGGCCATCATTGTAACCCAAGAGAGGGATTTAACACAATTGGTTAAGTATTTATCGAGTATTTAGTACTCCCTGTTTCTCCACATACTAGTTATAGGACCTTGAGTAAATTACTTTGCATCTCTGAAGTTCAATGTTTTCATCTGTATAATGAGGTACAGTATATGCATTGTATAAATGGTATATGTGTCTCTGAACTATTGTTCAGATTACATAAGACAATCCATGCAAATGATTTAAAGAGGGCCCGGTTAGCAGAAAGTGCTAGATAAATGCTAGCTGCTGTCGATGATACCACTGTAGGGTCACCACTATTACTCCTTCTACTATCACATTGCTGCCACATCACTGGGGGCGAGTTGAAGGCAGGCACTGGAAGAGAATGTGAAACAAGACCACGAGTCCCTGACTTCACAGTTTGCGGAGGAAAATGTTGTTATGGCTGACTTCTTATTCAAACTTTTATCTACCTTCCAGATCTTCCAAACTGGGCTTTTATAATTAAAACAAACCTATTTGACCAATAGCTGCTTTTTATTGGGAAGGGAAGAAAATTTACTGCATCCTACCTATTGAACTGCAGGGCCCCCCCAATGCTTTTTTAGCATTCAATCCCTCAATTTATAGAAGACAAAACTGAGGCCCAGAAAAGGAAAGTGGCTTGTCCAAGGTCACAAAGAGAGAAGAAGCAGAGACTGGGCCCAGACCTTCATGTGGCAATTCTTCTACTCAGCAGCAAGAACACTGCAGGCAGACGACAAAGCAGGTGCAAAGGCCCAGAGGCTCGCCTGCTCCCATCCTGCAGGCCTCAACTTGAACATCCCCTTCCCTAACAACTCAGTACGCAGTGTCTGTGAGGTATCTGTGCCACGCTGCAATTATTTCCTTTATGGAGCTGCTTCCTTCTTTTATGCTGTCTTTCCCTATGAACACAGCAACCAGATTTTATTCAGTGCGTGGCACACAGCTCCCAGGGAGTAATTGCTGAACAAATGAGTAAATGCGTGACTCAGTAAGCTTTTCCTTGATCTGTCCAGGGGCAAAACATGTGCTTTGCAGAGTGGTTATAAGAATTAAATGAGATGAAGTGCATTAAAAAGTCACCTAGTGCCCAGCACACATGTGTTTTCTTATAAACAAAAGCTCTGGATGCCTCCACTTGCGCAGCACACAGACTGGTGGGAGGCCCCTCCAGGTGACTTGCTAGTCACATGACAGCAACAGGCCTCTTGCACACGTCCTGGGCTGGATTCTCAGGGAGTCAGTGGATCTGCAGCCTGAAACTGGTCGGACTGGTTGAGGGATAAACTGAATTTTCCACACACAACAGTAAAGAACATGACTCTGCTGCTCTCAGCAGCCATCATACTCAGCTTTGGGAAGAGACTGCTTTCCAGCCAGAATTCAACAGCACTCTGTGGGCTTACTTTGAAATCCCTAAACTCAAGGGGGAGAAGAAGTAATCTCAGTAATTCCCGGAAACACTCACTGGCTTTGGAGTTCAGTAGCCCTGGGTGTGAAATCTGATTGACAGCTTTCTGTGAGCTTGCTCAGCCCTGCTGAGCCCACTTTCTTGTTTGTAAAATAGCGGGTAAATTCGTAACTTTTGGATGGGTAGTGAGTGTAAGTGAGCTTCCTTTGACCAGTGTTTGAGGATAATGGTTAGGATTAAGTTAATAATAGCTATGAAAACACCTGATCCAGGACCAGACCCATTATAATTAGTAACCTGAAGCCAGGCAGACATGGATTCAAATCCCAACTCAAATCCCACTGATAATTCTGCAATGTGGGTAGGCGACGTTTTCTCTCATTTGTATCCAGGGGATAATAAATCACTCAGAGGACTGCCATAGAGACTAGGTGAGAAGCATGCAAAACATGCTTTAACCATCCCTAAAACTGCAGGGCCCAGGATGAGAGTGAGCCCCATCAACCCTAGGTCTAAACACATCAAATTGCCAAGTAAAAGACCATTCTCTCCCCTACCTAGGCACACAGACCTCCATAATGTGGAATGGTGTTAATGCGGCAACCAGTAGCCACATGTGGCTATTTAAATTTAATTTTTAATTAAAATTAAGTAAAATTTAAAATTCCGTTTCTCAGCTGCAATGGCTACATTTCAACTGCACATGTGGCTAGTGGCTCCTGTATTGGATGGACAGACAGATACTGTTCTTTCATCGCACCAGGTTCTATTGCATAGTGCTGATCTGGAGGGACAAGTGTGAATTGAGAAGTCTAGGACCCCCTCATGTCTGGATCTGGACCAGGATAGCAGGGTGAGGGCCAGCCTCTCGGCCTGAGCTCTCTGTCCCTGCCCCTTTTCTTCCCATGGCAAGGGTGGCCCAGCCAGCACACCCAAGCCAACAGCTAGCTCTGGCAGCCTCATGGGCCCTGAGGAGGACAGAGGCAGGTGCTGCAAGCAGGCCTGCGCTGTTTGAGCAGGAAATTCTGGGATCCTGGGTAGCCAGTTCATGGTTGGGGTGGAGGAGGGTGTCCCTCTGGGTGGGCCTGACCCTGTAGCCCTTTGAACTCCTCACCCTGGGGAGAAGGGACACCGCTGGGGTATGGCCAGATCAGGGCCTCCAAAGTGCCGGAGCAGGGGCCCCTCTAGCTGGGGTCTGAAGCAGAAAAGGCATTTTAACACAGGGACTGGCATACAGACAGCTCTCATGGTGGCTGCTCTTATAACATTGGGTCATTTTTGCATTGGAGAAAAGACAACAACCAAATCTACTGAGCTAGGAGTTGAAGCCACCGCTTCCAAGTCCAAGACGCTTACGCTCCTCCCACCCCTTGCCCATGACGGCCCCTTATGTATGGATGGCTGTCAGGAGGGAAGTCTGTGCTTATGAACCCACCTGCAGGACAAGGGCAGGGTGCCGTCAGGGACTGCCTGCGCACACCCACATCCCTCCCAGCCCTGCTCTGCCTTCAACAACCCCCCTGACACCCTACATGAACAGGCTGAGGGTGCCAAGAGGCCCCTCCTTCCTTTGACCCCAGCGAGCCTGGACAGCAGAGAATCTGGGGCAGCTGGGAGGTCCCAGACTTTTGAATAGACTCCCCCATTGCCCATTCTACACGGAAAACACTTTCCACTTGGGAAATGTCCCACATGCTAAAGACCCTGTGCCCTTTTGGAGACCTTGCCTCATGTTTTCCATTCATTCATTCATTCATTCATTCATTCATCATTTGTTTATTTAAAATACTCCAGAACTTAATGAGAACCTGCGGAGTGCCAGACGCTGCGATGGGTGCAGGGGATAAATGCTGACAAGACAGAGTCAGGCCCTCTCAGAGCTTCATTCCACAGGAAGCGGTGACGGAGCAAGCTCATTATACTTGAGACAAATGTCGAGTAGAGAGCTGCAGGTGCCATTAGAGTGCACAAATTCATTTGAGGGGAGTAAAGACCCTGACACGTTCAGGAGGACCGGGGATTTGCTTCCTGGCTGTAAATTAGAATCCACTGGGGGCCCTGAGACCATGCCCACACCTGGTCCCCACCCCTGGGGGTTCTGCCTTCACTGTCCTGGGCCGAGTCCCAGCAGGAAGCCCCAGGTAAGTCTGACCTGCAGCCAGGACTGGAGTGGAGGTCTGGTGGGAAGAGAGTAGGGTTGCAGGCAGAGAGACAGGGATGTGCAGATGCCCCAGACTGAAGGGCATTTGACAAAGAGTGGAATCTCCTGTGGTTCTCCTCTAATAAGCCTTTTGGATAGAATGAAATTAGAGCTGCCGATCTGGGCATATAGGCCATGTCCTCCTGCCTGACTTTCTGATTTCAATATGCAGGCGGGGCAACTTGAAAGTGAAGCGAGAAGACATTTTTAAGGGACAATAAATAGCAATTAGAAAGCGTGGCCAGAGCTACCCTTCCCAGGGCTCACTCTTCTTTGCTAGTTTCAAAGCAACAGATGGCTCACACGGCGCCTTTTAAAAATATACATGCTACACTTCTTAGCTTGGTTCCAAGGAAGCAAATCATTTTCAAGCGTGATAAAAGGTTATGAAATCCCATGGTGTGTGGGCAGCAGGAGGGAGTCTTTCCTCTCTGTGTATCATCCCTGGGCTGAGAGCGACGTGTGGGGGCTGGGCCCTGGGATTTTGCCGCCTGCGTGCCCTGTGACACCCCCACTGCTTCCTGGAGCCAGGGGAGGTGGTCCGAGGGCCTGCACGGAGGCCCTGCGCAGAGCGCAGAGCGAGGGCCACAGAGGGCGGTGGCTCAGGGGATGATTATGTGGGACAGGGGCCATTCATTCAACAGCCCTGAATCACCTGAGGAGAAAGTTAATTCCTTTTATTCTTCCAAGCTTTCTGACAGGGTCAAAGGGCAAGTCTCAGCTAGGTGCCACTGTGTCTTTAACAGCTATATACATTTTAGAATTTTCTTATTAACAAAGAGATTAAGTCTTGGCAAGCAACAGTATCTGGCGAGACCTTAAGACCTTTGCTTTATTTCCATTTTTCTAATGCTCATGCTTGCCTTTTATTTGCAGCAAGAAAAGCTGGCTTTCCGCTGGGTAGTGATAGGTTTCCTTTCAACAATGAGTTGATTTAAACAAAATGTGATTTTATAAGTGTTAAATAGAAGTGATGGGAAATGTGGTAAAAATCATGGCAGAGATACACAGGTGACCTCGGATGGGGAGATGCTGGAGAGACGGGGACAACAAACAGACCTGGGGTTTAAAGGCAGGCCCTCTCACTGGCCGGGAGGCGCTGGAACCCCAGCACTGAGGAGCCCAGCAGTGACGGTGGGAGAAGGCTTCCTGGACACTGTGGGATGCCCTCTACTCCGCAGGCTAGCAGAGCCCTGAGAGCTCTTTCCAGGAGTTAGGGCACTGGGGAGAACAGCACACTTACACCTCTTAAAGCTCCAAGGATGGGTTTAGAGACAGGCTGGTGCAGATAACAACCTTGGCTCTGCAGTTCTGGGCTGTGTGACCTTGGGCACATTCTCTAACCTCTCTGAGTCTCAGCTTCTTCATCTGTGAAATGAGTCTAATATAGGAACCTCTCCCACAAGTTGCTTGCATTGTTAAGTGAAGTAAGGAAAATAAAACGCTTAGCAAAGTACCTGGCACGTAGAGTGCATTTAGTAAATACGAGCCATCAAAATTGAATTGAATTAAATTTGGTTTCATTTAAATTAATTAAGACATGAAGTCAGTGAGTTCTGGAGCCAGAAGCCGCCGTGGCCTCCAAAACCAAGCCCAGAGCCTTGGCAGCATCACCCTAATTGAGGATAACATCTGACCTAGTGGTCATTTTTAATGCAAGAACAGGACTATTCAACAACAGGGTGTTGGGTAAGCAAGTGGGGCTGAATCTCTGCCACGGGCTGTCAGGAAAATATTGTAGCAAAATGGTGTTGTAGAAGAACATGTAACATCTTGGAAAGATGTGTGGGTATACCAATAGGTGAAAAAAAAAAGCAGTACACAAAAGAGTATGCACACATTCAGCCACGAAAAGGAATGAAGTACTGATGTACCTTGCAGCACAGATGAACCCTGAACTCGTGACGATGACTGAAAGGAGCCAGGCACAAACTGCCGCACATGCACGACCCGTTTGCATGAAATGCCCAGCGAAGGCAAATCCTCAGGGACAGAGCGAAGTGACGGTTGCCTAGGACTGGGGGTCGGGGGTGCGGGTTAAAAGGTGTGAGATTTCTTTTGAGGGTAATGATAATGTTTTAAAATTGATTGTGGAGATAGTTGTACAAGTTTGTGAATATACTAAAAGCCATTGAATTATACAGTTTAAATGAGTGAAAATGGGTAAATTATATGGCATGTGAATTATATCTCAATAAAACAGTTAAAAATTATGCACAGTGTGATCTGGAAAAGCAAATCACATTGTATGTAATTTTAACCACTTTACTGAGATATATATCAATATGTATATTGGAATATATAACATAGTATATACTATATGCACATATCAATTATGTGCATGTATATATATATCAGTGTGTCTATCTTGCTAGCTAGTTATCTATGAAGAGGGAGAGAGAGACTTGGAGGGTAATACAAATACATCTATGATGGGTTTATGGGGGATTTCCTTCCTTTTTACTTAATCTATATTTTCTAAAGTTTCTACTATGACTATCTACTACTTTTGGGGAAATAATGAAAATGTTTTCTCTCTTTTTTTAAGAACAGCTCATTTTGGATTTCAAAGTCAATCAGATCAGGGCCACAGCCATTTTCTACCTGGGCTCACGTGTCCGCAGGAATAAAATGGGCTTTCCTTCGAGCCATTACCTTGTCCACGCAGAGGGGCACAGCGAACCTCTTGAGGGCGGATACACAGATGACCACAGAATTCTCTTCAGAGTTGTTCTTTAAGTGGGCCAAGTAGAAACACTGGTAGAGGCTGCTGTCCTCGTAGGCAATGACATCGAACAGGAGGCAGCCGTCCTCTTCGTAGGCATTGACGTGGTGGAAGACCACCATGGGGTCCGTGTAAAACTTGGTGGACACGGGCTTTCCAGTCCTTCGGTCGACGATGTGAATGTGAGTCTGAAAGAAGATGCGCATCCCGTGGTCAGCTGTCCCTCTGCTGGCCCAGTGCTGCGGCATCAGGTACGGGACAAGACCCACCCCTGCCGTGCACTGGCTCATGGCCTTGCAGCATCCCCTGCCTGTTCCGACCCTCGGTGCCCCTCCTCCAGAGTGCCAGACGCACAGAAGGACTGAGCGGGGGGCTGTCAGTTGTTGTGTGTCCAAGTGCATCTCTCTCTGATGGAGAGGAAGTTTGTGGGCCAGGGCTGCTGTGTCACCAAGAGCGCAGTGTTTGGGGGAGGCCCCGGAGGGTGCGCTGTTTCCCCTCCTTTACCTGATTATGATTCTGGGTGGGCAGCAACATGCCAGCTCCCTGGAAATGGCCAAGCTGGAGAGAACTGGCCAGGTGCCAGAACTCTAGGCCGCCCCAGGCTCCATCCAGCTCCCAGCCAGAGAGTGTGCATAGCTAGAGCCCCTAAACCCAAACACCACACTTGCCCTTTTGGGTCCCCCTCTCCGACCTCCAGCACAGAGCTTGCTACAGGGACGCAGTCGTCACAGCAACACCCCTGCCCTGGAGGGCTGAGTGACCTGGTTCTACTTAAGGAGCCCACATGGGTATCAGCTCCTGAGGCTGCTGCACCACTCTGGGTGTCATGAGGCGGTATCACTCTGGGTGGTAATTAGCCCTATCTGTAGCCCCAGTTGCCTAATCCAAAGGGAGGGAGTTGTTTCTATCTGTTGGTAGCTCTGGCCCAACCACCCTCCTCCCTGCTTGTTTGTTTCTTTCTCACCTTCCCCAGAATCAACCTGTGAATATTAAGCAGGGTGCAGAGGAGGAGAGCTCTGATAGCATGGCGGTGGGAGTCATTCTGGGAGGTGAGCACAGGGGTAATTATTTTAGGCCTTTCCTTCCTCAGGATTCCAATCCCTGGGTCAGCCACAGGGACTTGCAGAGAGTTCCCTCTGAAATGCATTTCCACGCCCCATCCCAGGGCTCACTGCCCTGCCCTCCAGACCCAGGAGCCTCAGATTGGAGGCCAGAGGGCCAGGGAGCTCCTGCCACTGGGATGCTCCTCCGCGTGCGTGGGGAATTCGGCTGTGGGGCAACCCCAACTTCCGCTGACTTCCCAGCTGCTGTCTTGCCCCCACTCATTCATTCCGCAAATATTTGTAGAAGGCCTACGACACATCAGACACTTTTTCAGGAACTAGAGAGACAAAATAAAGCCAAGCCTCTGGATAATGGGCCCTGGAGCTTATATTCCGGAGCGGGTGAGTCCAACAGCCAATGATCAGACATACAATATGTCCAGGATGATGAGCACTACTGAGGAAAATGAAGCGGGACAGGGGTGGAGGAAGCCTGGGGAGGGGTCTGTAATAGATGGGTCCATCAGGGAAGGCCTCAGGGTCCGGGGGCTTGAGCTGAGACCTAGAGTAACTGAGGTAGGAAGCCGTGTGGGGCAGGACATTCCAGGGGACAGAACGTGCAAAGGCCCTGAGGCAGGGATGTGTGGGGCTGGTTGGAGGAGGTACAGGGGGAGGTGGAGTGAGCAGGAAGCCAGTGGTTGGGATGAGGGCACGTGGGGATTTACAGGCTAATGAGTGGGGCCTTTGGATCTTATTCCAAGGAAGATGGGAAACACCTGGAAGGTCTTAGCAGAGGCGGGGCCACACCTAACCTCTTTGTTCCCTCAAACACTTCACTCTCCTCCCTGAGAAGAGAGGATACGCCTTAACGAGGTGGTGGGACACAAATTTGTATATGCACATAAAGAAGTACATGGTGCATAGAAAGAGGAGTAGAAGAACGTCAAGTGGATAGTGGGAGCTCTCCCTGGATGGGGCAGTGGATGAGAAGGAGGGAGGAGAGAGGACGGGACATGGAAGGGGACTTGATATGTCACTTTCTATACTTGTGTATTTGAGACTTACTTGATGTATTTCACAAGTAACAGCAGCAAATACACACACACACATACGCACATGTGAAGACATAGATCCAGATATCGTATGTACCTGGACACACATGTACATACTCTATGCTCCCAGGTGCACCTACACTGAAGGCGTCTCTGTCCTACCAGCTGGTGGAACACTCTGTCATCGTGTCTGAGTAAACTCGGGCCCCGTCCCCGGCGTGACACAGTGGCCGCAGGGGTGCCGAAAGGCCTTGTCGATGGACAGTGGAGGCTGGGGGAGCCCAGACATTGGTTAGGACTGAGGTGAGTGGGGACTGCCTTGGTTGGTGAGGCTACCTTGTCCAAGGTCACACACCCTTTCGGGACAGTCTTCTCCACTGACTTACTGCTGGGGGGCATAAAGGCCCGGCACCCGTGCCCTAACTCGGGACCACTCTGAAGGACCATCCCAACTTCAGAGCCCTCTGGGAGGTTGGCTGACACCTCTGGGGAGACCATATGGTAGTTTACTTCCTCCTTTCCTAAGAAACCTCCTCCAGGCTGACCTCCGTCTCAGTGTCCGCTGCCCGGGACACCTGGCTCTGGCTGTCCACTGTTGTGGTTCCTCAGGCACAGCAGGTCGGAGACCTCAGCCAGAGCTTACCTTCTCCTCCTTGTGGAAAGTTAGGCAGGAAGCCCAGTTCACTCCCCGGATGTACGCAGTTGCCAGCTTGAGAATATCCAACTTGAAGGGCTGCTCAAGAAAAACGACGTAGTTCTCGGTGATCCCGAAGCTGTGGTAGTAGCTCGGGTTGAGAAGGGAGCGGGAGTGGATGGAGCAGAGCACCTCCGTGTGACTCAGGGGGCTCTTCCCCTTCGTCCTGTCTAGAAAAAAGCAAGCCTCAGGCACAGTGCAGGTCCTGGCCACCCCAGGCCGACTGTACCACCACCACCTGCAGCTGAGCCTCTCAAACTGACCTGGTCACTAAGGATAACCTTTGAATAAGAGCTGACACGTAAAGTAGAGAAGGAGTTGCTGCCTAGCTGACTCGGGGGCAGAGGCTCAGAGCCCTCCCTGCTCAGGCTCACCCCCCTGAGACCTGGTTCTGCAATCTGAGAACACTGAACCCCACAGTCAGGTCTCTGGGCCTGGGGTCCACAACCACAGCCCCAGAGCTAACTCAGCCTCCCACTGCTTTTGGGCAAGGGTGTATTTGAAACACAGCTGAGCTCCCGCCTTTTATGCAGGGTCTATATCTGCTTTTGCCTTCGAGCTACAATAGCCCTGTTGAGTAGCTGTGACAGAGACCACATGTCTGCAAAGCCTCAGATATTGACTCTCAGATCCTTTACAGAAAGTCTGTCGACCCCTGCTCTGAAGCAATGCTTCTCAAATTTGACCGTGCATGCGGAGCCTCTGGGCACCATGACAAAACGTGGAGTTGGACTCAGCATGCGGGCTGGGGCCTGAGGTTCTGTCAAGCTGGCCCAAGCTTATGCTTTGACAGGTTGCTTAGGACCATCATCTGATATTGTGAGTTAATAGAAAAAATATCAGTATATATTGGCCTCTGCCTCGGTTCCTGCCACAAAACTCCTAAAACCTATGTGATTTCATAAGTGATAAGAGCCCTAGGAACAACTCTTATTCTAATATTGACCCCATCCCTGACACTGGCTCCTAAAACCTTTGTAAATTCCTAAGTGATAAGAGCTCTAGGAGCATCTTTTGTTCTAACGAGGTGACTCCAGATGGCTCCTGTATGGGGGCTGTCACCAGAAAGACCAAGCCACGATTACGAGCTTGGGATTTTTCAGCCCCACCTGCTGTCCGCCAGATGAGAGAAGGGCTGGAAATGGAGTTAATAATTGATCATGCTTACGTAAGAAAGCCTCCTTAGAATCCCAACAGTATGGGGTTCAGAGAGCTTATCGGTGGCGAACACATCCACACTGGGAGGGTGATGCACCCCAGCTCCATGGGGGCAGAAGCCCCCGGGCGCCAGAACCTCCCAGCCCCTGCCCTCTGCCTCACTTCATCTGGCTGCTCATCTGCATCCTTGATCATGTCCTTTCATAAACTGGTGAGCGTGTTTCCCTGAGTTCTGTGGGCTGCTCTAGCAAATTAATCGAGACTGAGGAAGGGGTGGTGGGAACCCCCGATGCAAAGCCCGGTCTGACCAAAGTGGGGAGTAACCTGGGGACCTACTACTCTTGACTGGCATCTGAAGTGGGGTAGTGGGGGCTGAGCCCTTAACCTGTGGGTTTTGACACTACCCAGTGGACCGACAGCCAAACAACTGAGGTTAGTTTTCGGACACCAGCAGCTGTCACAGAGAATTGCTTGGTGGGGGAAAGCGTCTCCCCATCTAGTGTCAGAAGTGTTGAGAGTGTCAAGGAGACACTCAGGAGGGAAAACTGGAGTTTTTTTAATGTAGACCTGAATTTCAGAGGGTCTCCATGAATTCTCCTGGCATTGCCCCTTCTGGAACACCTGAGAGTGAGACTTATGTACCCGCGATGATGACGGGCTGTTACACAGACTGTGACCATCAAGGCAGGCAGAGTGAAATAATGGAGCAGTCCAACTGCCTCACCCAGTGCCCAAACACGGAAGGTGCTCAGGACGGGTTCGGTTTTCTTAGTCCTCTGCAAGGGTGACTCATCCGCAGGCCACAAGGCTTCCCCTCCCAGGCCTGGGGCTGATGTCTGACCAGTTGTCTGCAAGTATCTCTGCCTTCCTTGTGGCCACCTGTGCACATTGTGAACAGCTGGCCAGTGGGAGGGAGGCTGTGGGTTACTTCTTTTTCATAAAACAAATGCAGCACAAAGCAAACTGAAGTGCAAAGCACCCTAGTCTGGCAGGCAGGAGACGGGCCTAATCCCAGGGGAGCCACCAGCACGGAGCAGGCGCTCAGAGGGTAGGTAGCTGCTTGCATGATGTTGGCAGCTCCTGTAAGCTGTGTGACCTTGGGCATGTCACCTGATGCCCTGGGCCTCCCAGTTCTCTGTAATATGAAGTGGTAAACTAAAATGCCTAGATTATCCCCAGGTCTGACATTCTAGAATCCTAAGCTAGACCCTATGTCCCTTTATTGACTTTAATGAAAATACTCAGTGCACCTTCTGACGTCAGGGGCTTGCTCATATTTGCCAGCAGAGCTGGGTAATTTGCTCAGGAGGTTCTATAGGACGGTGGGGGAGGGGGAGAGGCAGGGATCACAGATGGAAACCAGTTTTCCCAAACTAGGAGGTCAGGTCAAGCACCCCTTATACTGGTGCCCTGTCTCCAGCCACCATCACAGGCCTGGTCTCCTGGGTATGCTTTCAACGAGGGGCCTGGACAAAGGCTAGGAGTCCCACCTTCCTTCCCCACAAATTAGCCTGGGCTTCCCTCCAGGATCTCAGTGCTGAGTGGAGAAGGTCCAGAAGGCCTGGAGAACAGGGTGGGGATCTGGAGTTGATCCCAGCAGGGCTGGGCTCCCGGAACAACCCTGGGAACCTGGCTTCCGGGGGCTGGGATGCAAGTGGGAGGCACAGCCCTGACATGCAAAGGTTTGTCTGGAGACTGGAAGAATGACAAGAAGGAGGGAAGGCAGGAAGGAAGGCAGGAAGGAAGGAAGGGGATGATAAATGAATGGATGGATAGATGATGAACAATGGATAAATAATGAATAAATTAATGAATTAATGAACTGTAAGGTCCAGGAAAGGAGGTTAGAAGAGTAAAAAGGGCTTTGCTGCTTCCAAAAGGAAACCCAGCAACATCTCTTTTCTCGTAAAGAAGAAAAATGGATTCAGGGTCACCTGATTCATCTGGGAGGGAAAGCATCAGATTGAGCCAGTGGCATCAAGGACAGTCAGAACTCTCCAGAGGGAGCCACCCTTGGCGTTTGTGCCTCATTACGTCCGCAGAGTGACCTACCCGGTACTGCGGCAGGGATCTTAAAGATCACGTATTTCGTCTTCCCTTTGTCCACAATGGAGGTGCCCATGTTGAGAACATTTCCAGCTGAATCGTAATGAGGATGCGCTGTTGCCAGATTTATAGCCACATATTTTCGATAATCAATCTGCAAAATATAACAGGCACCTGGTTTTAAAAAGGGGAGAAGTTGAAGTTGAAATCTTGTTCAAAACTGATTGATTCTAGGTTTAGAGAAATGATGGCTATTTTTGCACATTTTCTGATCTGAAAGTGAGACAGACTTCACCTTTAATGAGAATGTTCACTCTTGAGACCTGGTCTAACCTCACGGGGGACCTCCTACTGCAAATAGGTGGCAGGGAGGTTAGTGAGCCGCGTGTGTTTTCTGTGGCAGGTTTTTGGAGCCTGCAGCCTGGCGCTGCCGGGGGCCCTCAGAGTGGAGACAGGACACCTCCCCTCAGAGAGCTCTAAGCAGTGGCCTGTGCAAAGAGGCAGCCATAGTGCTAATCTTGGCCACTGCTCTGTGTCATTCTGCTTCAGTCATTTAAATCTTCCCTTTTTGCATTCCACATAGGCAGAATTCTCCAGGCCTCTCTCATAGGATTATTCTGGGAATGGAGAGGTTACAAAAACATTTGGTCAAAGTAAAATTCAACTAGCAAGCTCAATAATGACCCCACTCTGAACAAGCCACAACTGGAGAATAATGGGGTGGCTTGGGAACCAGCTGTCTGCCCTTCCTCCCCCAGAATAGCACAACCTCCAGCCAAAAGTCGACAGATACTCCATTCCCTCCTAGTGTTTCCTCCCTGCAACTCTGTGGAATGCGTACATCAGTTGGACCTATGCTGCCTAGCTTAAAAGGAGCTGTACATAATTTCACAGCTAAGAGAAGCACTCCTTTTAGCAGATCGTTAAAATGTATTACAAAGACACTGAGACTTGGAACAGCCAGCTGGAGAAAACTGAAAGTGGGTCTACTGATGTTCACAAAAATGTTGACTTAATTCTGCCCAGGAAAGGTATGTGTTTGGGCGTTTATTTCTGTGCTCTTGCTCTCTGCCTCATGCCTCCCTCTTCAGGTCAATACAAGGTAAGGCCACTGGGAGTCCTAGGCGGTCCAGCACAGCCATCCAGACTCTCACTGAGCTGCCACTCAGAGCCGAGGACTGAGGATACTGTTGTGGATTATAGTGTGTCTTCTAAAGAGATATGTTGAAGTCTTAACTCCTGGTACCTGTATGTGGATTTAGGGTCTTTGTAGATGTAATTAAATTAGAATAAAGTCATGCTAGATTAGGGCGGGCCTTAATCCAATGATTTACATCCTTAGAAGAGACTAGAGTGTTGTATCCAAAGAACACCAAGGATTGCTGGCAACCACCAGAAGGTGGAAGAGGCAGGGAATGTTCCTCCACTAGAAATCACTGTCCTCCTTCAGAGAGAGCACGGCCTTCCTGACACCTTGATTTGAGACTTTCAGCCCCCAGAACTGCGAGAATAAACTTCTGTTGTTTTAAGCCACCTAGTTTATGGTTCTTGTTATGGTAGCTAGGAGTGAATATAGACACAAAGATGAAAAGACAGTCCCAGCCCTCAGGGAGCTGAGACGCTAGTGTGAGTGCTATGCTGGGGAAGCACAGAGTCAGTGGCGCTGGGGGGGGGGGCGGCTCCTGCAGGCCTCATGGCCTCACCCAGGGGGGTCCTGTCTTGAGTCAAAAACTGACGCTAGGTGTAGATTTGCTGATACCTTTTCCAGAGTTTCCAGAGTCTGTGGGTCAATTTTCCTGATGTAATTGGTCTCTGTGGTTGCATAGAAGTCTCGTCCACACTTTATGATGTTAATCAGGCAGTTGTCTGTGAAATCTGGGATGGTGTGGGACAGGTAGGAGAAAGCTCTGGGGAAGAAAGCAAACCAATGGCTGTGTCTACGCGACTGGGAAATTCTGTTTAAGGTGCTTTTAATTTTCCTACCACTTAAGATGCTCTCCTTCAACTTAAGGAAGAAAAAGTACTGGGTCCCAATGGGTTACCTGAGGACTCAGATAGCAAGTGTTCAAAGGTGCCACCATATTGAATCAACTAAGGAGTGACAATCAGCTGGGACAACATGACCACCAAAGTCTCTCCTGGCCTCTCAAAAATCCAAAGTCTCCTGCACCAAAGCCAGAAAGAGCTGGGGGATTGTTCTGAAGAATTTTAAGAAGCTCTACAGAAATCACACATCTATCCATTATGGCCCCCCAAAACTAGCAAAACAACAAATCCTTGCTTTTGGCAGGAATGTGAGTCCACACTGGTTACCTCAAATTTGTCCAGGAAATGAGTTTTTTAAAAGAGAAAAGCAAACTAATTTTGAGCTAAGAACCTATAACTAATTTGATGAGAAGGCAAACTCAAATCAGGGGGGAAAAAATCCTGGATCTGTGTATTGGTTGGTGTTCCCCTTACTGGCAAGTGATGTAACAGCAACAATGCCTCAAAGGTTACGGTTTTAAATTCACTCCCTCCCCTTCCCTTTTCCTCCCTGGCTCTTCCTCAATCTGCAAATGTGAGTTCTGAGCAGTTCCTGGAAAAGCAGAAGCAATCTTCCCTCTCTGGGCTCGTCCGCCCCTAACACATTTCATAACTCCTCTATACCTAAAGAGAATCAGAAAGGAGATACTGAAGGCAGGCCCGATTCCATGGCCAGCCATTTAATTTGTCAGATATGTAATAGTCACACGCGTCATAACCCAGACGACTGTAAATGAATACAACTACAAATCTTCCCCGGTCCTTTCTCCCATTTGTCAGTTTCCCACCTCCTTTAGGACCCCTTCCAGAGTTTTTTATGAACATACATGCAAAAATAAATCCAGATTTCCTCCTGCCTTTTTACACCAAATATAGCACATTATTTGCTCTTTTTATACCTTGATTTTTTTAACTTAATATATCTTGGAAATTCTTCCATTTGGTACATAGAAAACATCCTCTTTCCTTTTTACTTCTGCCAGGTATTTTCCCATGTAGTTTCACTGTTACTGATCTAACTGCTCCTCTGTGGATGAACATCGGGTTATTTCCAGTTCCTCATGATAAGAAATCATGCCACCACAAACAACCTTGTACATTCGTCATTTCAGCATAAACAAGTATACCTCTAGGCTGAGGGGAATGAACGTTTGTAATTTTGATAGATAATTCCAAATTATCCATCAAAATTGCTCCCACCAGCCATGTGGGAGAATACCTAACAATCTGTCAGATGTTCTTTGTCTCTCCTGCTACTGGTGATCAAGATATGCATAGGGTATACAGGCAAAGGCCAGTCACACAGACTTTCCATCCACCCTGAAGATGGCTGTCAGAGAAGCACACACTGGTTGTTCTGACCATCGAGGATATCAAAAAGCATGACTGGATTCAAAATAGATCATTACTTGGAAAATATGTTTTTGCAGGGGTCTGGATAGGCCATTGTTCCAAACTCTGACACCACAATCCTGTTTGCCTCGATATTGGCGTTGTAGGTGTCACTCCTCAGGTATTTGCTCCTGTAATAGACTTCACCTGAAAGAGAAGAAGCAGAGTTACCCCAGGCTGACACCTTTACAGGCCTGAGTGTCGATTTCAGCCATTCCAGGGCTAGTACTAGGGGATATCAGGGTGAGCACGACAGGCATGAGCTGTCCTGGTGAGGAGATTCAAGTTTCCATGTGGATATGAATCCTTGCTCCATCATCTACCAGCCATGCACTTGACCTTGTGTCACATGCAGGATCAGTCCCCTCCACTGTGATGTCAGGATCATGATACCTTTCTTACAGAGTTGCTGTGGCATTCAAGGCCTGCAAAACACTTTGTGCATAGTAGATGCTCAATAAAAACTACATCTGCTATTGAGATGCAGGAGAGAGTGGGCAAGGCTTTGGGCCATTGTCACATATTGATAACTGATGGCTGCTGCAATTCTGGATTGTCCAACAAAATCCTGGAGGCAGGAAGGATCATGCAGGTATTGGCGGGGCTAAACACACTGGCCTTCACACACAGAACCTGCTCTAGGAAAACCCTGGTCTCCCCGTGAGCTGGCACGTCCTTTGCAGCCACTCTCTCTGAGAGTCACCACCCACAGGCACTGGCTAAGGTGCTTTCGACCCTGTGATGGTTTACTTAAAATGTTGAATTTGTTCACTTGAAATGTAAACCCCCAGCCAGGCTGGTTGTAGACAGGTGGCCCATTTCCTATAAACAACCCGCCCCAGAGCATGGAGCACTTGGGCCCACAGCAAAATGTGTCTCTGGAATTGCTCAAGGCTGACACTTCACTCTGAAGCTAAGATTAAAGAAGGAGCCACTCTGCATTCCCTGCCACCCTGCTCCTGGGAGAGTCCGATTAGCCACATTCCTTATAAAGGAACACAAGTAAACAGACTCCTGCCTGGAATCTTCCAGAACTGGGTCTGGTTTGGGGGGATGGGGATGGATATACACACACACACACACATACACATATATAGAATATATGTATATATACACACACAAACACACATATACTTATGTATATACAAATATATATGTATATGTGCCACTTACACACATTTTTAAAGCTAACATTCCAAAAGGTCACTTTGGAGCTGTACCAATTGAAAAAGCTTTGGGAGGGCTAAATTCTCAGGAGCTTTTTTTTCTGTAAATCTTGGCAACTCTGGTTCTTGGAATTTACATGTTCAAATCCTCATGGGACAACAACTTGTCCTTTTATTAGAAAATTATTGAATATATTTCTGAGGTTCATGCACTTCTAGGCCTACTTTATAAAAAATGTTTTATTTTGAAATCATGTTTGACTTACAGAAAAGAGCTCTTCTGTATACCCTTCTCCCAGCTTCCCTGGCTACACTCTGCCTCTTTTATTCAAATCTTTGTTAGTTTTTTAAAGCATCAGTTTTCTGGCCCCAGCTGAAGACCACCAGCCTTTTTTCTGTCTTTTTGCTTTCTTGCTCCAAAGTCTTACCGGTTCAGCACTACCTAGGTTCCCTGTGCTGCCCGTATACTCCAGCTGCCTGGTGCTTTTATTACAGAGGCTTGAGCCCCATCTCGCAGCCCTAATATGCTCGGTCTCGGGTGGGACGGGGCAGCCAGGCTGGAGGTCCTCCGTGGGGGTTTTTTCAGACCTCGTGTGCTCAGGGTCAGATTGGAACCATGCTAGAAACTTAGATGCTCTGTCTTTATTTTTCAGGATTATGATTCATTCAAGCCCTGTGTGTGTGTGCATGTGTGCATGGATTTGCAGCTTTAATTAGCATTTCAGGGGATTCCAGTTCAGGAGGCTCACAAACCACCTTTTGGGAAATACTTTGTGTTCTCTGCAAATCCAAGAACCCTGCTTGCCCTGTGCATGCCCCCTTAGTTCATATATAGTCGCACTTAACACGTTTGGTTTCTGTTGTTAGACAATGGGAAGCCACTGAGCCTTCTAGAGAACAGATGGGGCCAGGCTGTGCACACCAACATCAATGACCTGGCGGCCTCCAGAGGACTGGGCTGGGGAGATGCGGGCAGATGGTAGCTGGCAGGATGGGGTAATGGGGGCAGAAGTGCATAATGACTAAGACTTGGGATTCTGGATTTGGAGAGTATTGGGTTTATACACGACCTCCACCACTTCTTAGCTGTGGGCATTTGGACAAATACCTTGGCCTCTCTGGGCCTTAGACTCTCATCTGTAAAATCAAAATAGTGACAGTGGTACCTACTTCAGGAACTATAGTGAGGGCTGAGGTGGGAATGGGCACGGAGCCAATGGCCAGCAAACATTTCCTGTAGTGAGTATTGAAGACATGGGCTGGGAGGGTATTGCTTCCTGCTACCAAAATAATCTTTACTTTGTCCGCGTCATTTCAGGTCCATAAAGAGTTTCAGAGCGCCCCTCTGCGCCAGGCCCCATGCTGATTGATGAAGATACAACACTTTGAACAGGAGCTCTAAACTCTGGGGCCTCCCACCCCATGCTGCAGAATGGCAAACTGATCACTGCAAAGCAGGGTAGGGCTTGCACCCTCAACACATGACCAAAGTCAAGAGTAGGAGAGGGGAAGGGGAGATAATTGGGTGTACTCTCCACATCTTCCCTTTTCCAGCCAGTTCCAGATTATGAGTAGAACTGAGTTTTTCATGCTACTTACTGCATTGTATGTATGTGTATGTGTGTATATTATATATATTATATAATTATATATATTTATATATATGAACTATATATATAAATTTTCTGTGTTTTAGGGAATATTCTTTTGCTTTAACTATCCCAGGGCTAGGTGCCAGGCAACTAAAGACCACCACTATCACCCAAAGACCACTGAAATTATTCACATAAGCCATTCCTAAGCAATTCACCCTGCCCTGTCTTGCTTTCCCTTGAAACCTCAATAAAGGCCATGGCCTAAGCATTTCCCCTGATCCTGACTTCTGCCTCCTGACCGCCCTGGTGTTTTCCCATGCAGCCCTGCATGACGTGCTGAGCCTCCCATCCCTAGGAACCTCTAAGTACAATACCCTTTGTTCTCCTGAGCCTCTCTGTGCCTCCTCTTGTGGTCACACCTGTCTGACCACCTCATAAAAGGATACACAATAGCTATTTATCTTTGACAATGAATTTTTAGTTTGAAAACTTATGAGATGCTTTTGGAAATTCTGAACAGCACATGATAGCTTTGGTCATTTGCCTATCTATCCCATGCTTCCATAAGACAGCCATGGCTCAGTCATTTTCTGCTGGTTCCCTTGTCCCTGAGGTTCTCTATGGAAGGACACCAGAGCCACTGCTTGGTAAGCTGTGGTGACAGGGGGGTCACTTCAGCAACATAGTATTTCTCAGGCAGTGGTGTGTGTGTATGTGTGTATGTATGTATGTATGTATGTATGTGTGTATGTGTGTGCTACAGTGAGGATGGGGGCGACAGCTGCAAACTTACACTCCAGACCACAGATTGAGATCTTAGCCCTACCTTGATGATCTTGGATAAGCCACTCAACCTCTCTAATGTTTCCATTCCTGCCTCTGCAAAGAGGGGACTGGAACACCTCTCCCACAGCATTCGCACGAGCACCAGAAATGGCCGCAAAGAACCCGGCAGCCTGGTGAAGCAGGGCCTCACAGAAAGGAAGCTGCCTCTCATGCACTTCATCCAGAACAACATTTGTTTTCCCCAGAATCGTGGGTAACATCTGCCTAGAAAAGGAGATGATTGAGACTTAGAGCTGTCAGGGAATTATGGAACCACCAACTTAGTAGGTGAGTCTCAGGAAAATCTGTAAGTTTTTAAAATCATGGTATCTCCATTCCTGAAATGTTTGAGCAAGTTGCTAGCATAGAGTCTGCACTCAAAAAATAATTGCTGACTGGCTTGAAAGAAATAATAGTTATGCAAAAAAAAAAAACAGTTAATGCTTACTGAGCACATAATAGTTAATGCCAGACATTATACAAGGCTACTTACACATACTAATTCCCTTAATTTCCACAGCAACTCTATGAGATGTGCTACTAATATATCTCCAATTTGAGGATGGGAGACTGAGACATGGAGAGGGTCAGTAACTTGGCCAAGGTCACATAGCTTAGATTAGCTGGTATTCAAACCTAGCAACAACCATGGTGTTTTTTAATCCACTAGCATCTCCCAGGGGTCAAGCCCTGGCTAGATATCCATTCTTCTAGTCATCACAACAGTTCTCCAGGGAGGATGATTAAGCTCTTTTTACTGATGAGGCCAAGGGAAGTGAAGTGACCACAGATTTCCCATGCTAGAATACGGGAATTAAAGAAAAATTTCACCAAGCTCAAGTTCTTGGTTATGAATTTGCCTGCTTTGTGCCCCTGAGCCCGCTCAAGCCTCATGCAACCCACCCTGGACCTCTTTGAGAATTCAGCTCATGCTGTGTGACATTACCCAGCCCAATGGGCAACAGCAAAGAGTTTACAATCCACTTATTGAGCCACTACCATGCACTCAGAATTTTGCTTTATTTGTGGCACTTCTTACTTTCTGCTCTATATTCAGTGTCCACTCAGGGAGAGCTACTGAACATATTGCATGCGTGACATGGTTCTCCTCTGCCTGGTGAGTAATACATTCAGCTTTGTTCTTTTCAGTTTTGTATTCACTGTTTTGATGTGGTGTGTGTTTGATTCCAAAGCCTGTAACCTTCTGCCTGCTGTTGCCCACCTTATTGAAAATATATAATATTTTGTAAGTTGGACTCTTTGAAAAAGAGTCACCTTGGCCACCTTTCCAGGGAGGTTTGTGCTTATAGTGGGCTGAATGACCAACTCCCCAAGGTGTCCCTGTCCTAATCCCTGGGACCTGTGAATATTACCTGACAGGGCAAAAGAGACTTTATGGGTATGATTAAGATAATGAATCTTGAGAAGGAAGATTATTCTGGATTATCTGGGTGGGCCCAATGTAATCACAAAGGTCCTTATAAAAGGAAGATAGGAAGGTTAGAATCACAGAAAAAGATGTTGTGATTATAGAAGCAGAAGGAGGGGGAGAGAGAGAGAGAGAGAGAGAGAGAGCGAGCGCGAGTGCGAGAGCTGGCTTTGAAGATGGAGATGGGGACACAACCCAAGGAATGCAAGCAGCTTCTAGAAGCCAGCTAAGGCAAGAACGTGGATGATCTCCCAGAGCCCTCAGAGGAAGAGCAGCCCTGCCAACACCTCGACTTCAGTTCAGTGAAACGCATTTTAGACTCCTGATTTCCAGAACTGTAAAAAAAATTAATTTCTACTGTTTTAATTTCACGTGTATCTTTTTATTTTTATGAATGTGGCTGAGTAAATTTAAAATTGCACATGTGGCACACGTTAGATTTCTATTGGCCCTTGGACAGAACAGCAATAGCAAACTAATAGAGTGCTTTTACCATCTCTGATGGTGAAGCTGTGGAGCAAAGCCAGGCCGTCAAACCAATGGTTGTAGCTGGTCTCCCCCACTGTGTGCATCCCAGGCCCGTTGCGCAGCAGGATTCCCTGAAGCCATGTTGGAATCTTGCCTGTTAAGAGAAAGAATGTTCAGTTTCCAGTTTCCGTGTCTAAACAAAAAGCTACAAGAAATGGCCATGGAAAGGAACTGAGGCCATAGCCCCAACACCACTCGCTACAGTCATCCATTTACCTGGCAGTCATTTCCAGAAAGCGTACCGTATACCTGGTATTGGGCTGGCACTGAGGATACCAAGATAAGTAGGCATCGTCTGTGTCTTTCCGTTGCTTACCATCCATGGAGAGACAGAGACAGAAGAATCAACAGACACTCAGAATAATCTGTGGTAAAGGCAGTGCAGTAGACTCAGCCAAAGGGACTGTGTGCAACAACCTCATCCTGAGGTGAGGGGACTACAGGAGGGTAAAGACTGCTTCCTGGAGGAAGTGACTTGGATGAGTCTTGAGGGAGAGTAGGCACTCGCCTCACAAAGGAATAAGGAAAGAACATTCTAGAGCTGTGCTGTCCAATATGGTAGCCACCAGCCCCATATAACAATTAAACGTGGCTAGTCCAAAGTGAGTTGTGTTATAAATATAAAATACACACCAGATTTCAAAGACTATGAAAAAAGTGTAAAGTATTTCATTAGCAATTTAAAAATATTGATTACATGTGTGGACAGGAAGAAGAGCCAGGACGGTAAGAAACTTGGAGGACATAGAACTGCTAAGACTCAGAGTTGGACTACATATGGGGGGAAGAGGAGGGGAGTATTCAAAACAGTAAATTCCATCCAAGTCTCTTGCCTTGGGCAAGTAAGTGAACGGGAGGATTATTCATAGACACCCAAAACACAGGAGAAGGAGCAGGCGAGGCAGGGCAGGGAGAGGTGAACAAGAGCGTAGAGTTGATGCCATAGATACACACTAAGAACATTTATTGAGCACTATGCAACTTCCAAGGCAATTTCGAATCTGAAAAAGCTCCAATCTGACTTTCCTCACAAAGAACGCTCACCGTTGTCCTCTCCTTTTGAAAACATCCAGTCTGTCTCTCCAAAGCTGAACTTGCCTGTGAATCTGAGCTGACCCACTTGCTGTTCTCAGAACACTGAGCAAGTGCCAAGCCGAGGACCCGAGAGTTCAGACCCAGTCATTGCCCTGTAGACTCTAAACAAGATGGTGCCAGAAAGTCAAGTTGCAACTCAGAAGAGGAGAAAGCCAGACAAAGAAATGAGACACAAAGCCCGCTGGAGGAATGTTCCTGCTGAGGCTCCTGCTGTGGGGCTCTTTCACTGGCTCTGCAGATACTCACATGCCCACGTGACCCCCGTGGTACCTGCAAGGAAATCACAGCTGGTTCTTCCTACCCTCCAGTGAGCACTTGCAGGAGTGTGAACTCACCCCCACTTCTCGTGCCATTTTGAAATTAATTCAGTATGCACATATTTGCATAAACACAGCGGGAAGGGGCCACATTTTGCAGAATAACCCCATTGTATATATGCCAAACGCAGAATTCCCAGGACTTTTCTCCTGGAAATAGTGAGAATGACTCTCCCTCCTTGGAAACTGACTTATAATATATGAAAGCACACCTAGATTTTCACAGAGAATGTGTCTGGATTATGAATCATTTTCTCCCAGATAATGTTTTCCAGATTTTCCAAAAACGATTTATAACAAGCAGAAAAAAAGGGCATACATCTAGACATGAAAGAAAAGCCAATTGTTTATGCAAAACGCTCACCTCTCACTTTGGCCCTCACAGGCTCCAGTTGTTCTTTCTTATTTCTGCCAAATATTACGTCCATCACACGGGCGCTGCGAGGGAGTGCTGTGACAGTGAACAGACCGGCTTCTGTCTTCAAGTCTTCAAGGCAACTGCTCCTCAGCTCCTCCTTTCCTCTCCTTCATGCTCTCCCGCTCCCTCCTGGTGCCACTCTGCTTTCCCCCATCTGAGGGCCTGGTATTTCTTCACGTTCCAAGGGGAAGCTGCACCGGGATTAATTATGTTTGGTCAAAGGTCAATTTCCCAGCCGCGTGTTCTTGTTAAACTTTAATCCTCTTATTGTCTCTCCCTTTCCAATGTCACTTTTGGTTTAACCAAGAAAAGCTTCGTAGTCTCCTGCTGGGCTGAGGTTGGGGAGAGATTTAGCGGTGCATTCTGCTTTGGCGGGCTGTCAGGAAAAATCCAACCAGGAGGTGGAAGTGGTTTGTAATCAGAAGACAGACTGTCAGGGCCATCAAAGACACCTGAAGTCAATGAGGAGTGCTCATATTGCCTTGAAGGAAAAAAAAAAAAAGACACTGGAATTAGGGCTGCCAAGAGCACGTTGATGGTGTGAATTCCTGCTGCACATCACGGGGAGTTCTTCTGCAGAGACGGGAAAGTTTTGTTTTGTTTTGCTTTGTTTTAAATAAAGTTCCCTGAGCCTCCTACCACCCCCACCCCCCAAATCATACATACAAAGCAACTTAATTCTTAGTTCTCTTTTGAAGAAGTAAACAAAATATTTCATGTACCCATTTAAACAATGAATGTGGGCTCAACGTCCTGGCCCATCAAGAGGGAGAAACAATGCCTGAATTTGCTTTTAGGATCTCCCTGTATTTGTGCATCTTGATGCGATGCCATTGCCTGAAATCCATATTCAGTTGCTATGAATGTTGAGTGACGCATTCATGAACTCATCTTAACTCATGCTGCTCAAAGAAAGAACCAGTTATTCCCTCTGGGTAGAGCAAGGAAAGTGGGTGGTGCTGCCGCTGGGTGCAGTTATTGTCAGGCCTGGGCCGAGACTGTGTTCCCGTAGCTCAGGGCTCGGTCCCAACAGCAGCTGGCTTGCATCCTGGCTGCACATTCCTTCACCTGGTTGGGCCACACTCCAGACTCACTGATTCAGAATCCCTGAAGGTGGAGCCCAGCCATGTACCGTCCTTAAAGTGTCTCTAGATCATTCTCTGTGTGCAGCAGACACTGACAGAGAAGCGCAGGCCCAGCGGAAGATGTCACACATTTGGGTTGATACCAGAATCACATCCCTCCCCTTTCTGTGTGTCTTATCCTCTTTGAGCCTCTATTTCCTTGTAAAATGGGGCAAAACTTCAACATTATTATAGATCAAGGGTCTAGCAAAAGCACCTGGCCCCGAACAGTTATCAACCAATGTTATTGCCCTATTCTTCCCCATTCTCTCAGAAGGCACTTCTCTCTGAACTCCACTTCCCACTAAGTCCCATAATAACTTGCCAGTTTATTCAGCTATCTGGTCTAAACATGTGTATCCATGTCAGGGTTATGACTTACTCCTAGGTTGTGAAAGCTGTGTCCTTGTGAGGATTAAGTGAGAATGCCTGGCATACGCTGAAGGCTCAGGAAAATATCGCACCACCAGGGGCAGCAGCTCTGATGCAGAAAACCAAGCTCAGGGCTTAGAGATCAGAAAACCTGGGCTGGGATCTCAGCCCTTCGATTTAAAAACTCTGCGACCATTGTCACATGTCACATGATTCCTCTGATAGTCACCTTAATCTGCAAAACAGGATGGCAAGGACTATGTCACAGGGTTTGTTGGGAGGATTATATTGGAATTATAAGTGAAACCATGACCATGTTCTCCCTTCTGGTCCATTTTGGGTAGTATTCAGAAAAGCAACAGCCCCCAACTTTTGAGCTCACTCTCTGAGTCAAGTGCTTTGCAAAGCGCTCTGCATGTACCAGCTTGCTCTGGCCTTATGTAATCCTATGATATGGGTATCCTTAGGATTATTCTAGAGGTGAGAAAACTTGGGGAAGGTAACCTACTTGCCTTAGGATACACAACTAAGAGGTCGAATTAGGGAGCTGAGCCAGGCAGCCCGATTTCAAAGTGTACACTCTGTGACAGTTTCAATGCAGCATGGATCTTGGCTAGATTTTTACTGAATGAAGAATCAGGTGGTTGTACTGATGGGTGGAGGGCCCTCAGAGCCAGTCTGGGGTTGGCGTTGCCTCGTTATATAATACTGAGGAACCAAGCAAGCTTGCTTCATTTAGGTCCCACATGCACCCTGGGGACAATTATATGGTGAGATAAGGATGTTTTGATAATGGTGATAAAATATTAATCACAACGATAGATATCTGTCTCAGTTTTGTAAGGCTTCCATAGCAAAGTACAATAATACAGGCTGGGTGGCTTAAACAACAGAAATTTATTTACTTACCTTTCTAGAGGCTGGAAGTCCAAGTTCAAGGTATTGGCAGGGCTGGTTTCTTCTGAGGTCTTTCTCCTTGATGGGCAGATGGCTGTCTCTTCACTGTACACGGTCTTCCCTCTGGGGGCACGCATCCCTGGTGTAACTGCGTGTGTGTCCAGATTTCCTCTTCTTATTCGGGACACCAGTCAGATTGGATTAGGGCCCACCCTAATGGACTCAAGTTTGACTCAGTCACATCCTTAAGAGTGCTATCCATCACATTCTGAGGGTCTAGGGGTAGGGATTCAACATATGAATTTTGAGGGGACACAATTCAGCCCATAACAATATCATGAAGGCTCAACAAGATAACAGAAGACGCTTTGGCTGGAAGTAACCGAGTATCTGCTGAAACCCTCAAGAGATGCATTTACCTTGGACATTGAGTCATCTGGGGGTCCTGGGTAGCTCAGAAGCTCATCTGAGTCATCTCACCAGGCTCACCAGGCTCACCATCTACTGCATCGCCATCTTCGGAGGGCTGGCTTTCATCCTTGGGCTTGTTCAGTTCTGTTTATGAATGGCTCCCTTCATTCCAGGAATCGTCCCGGTAAAAGTAGGGACATATGATGGGGACAAAGGAGGTGTTTTCTTTTCACGTCTCTCTCCTTTTAAGCTGGAGGAAAATCTTCCCCGGAATCCAATTTTTTCTTAGTTTTCTTGGCTGAACTGTGTCACAGGCACATCCCAGACCAATTCCTGGAAAGTAGGAACAAGAGAACCCTGATTCTTAAATCACGAGACTCTTCCGGGGGCAGCGTGTTGTCCCTTGAATCATATCAGGATTCCATTATCAAGAAAAAAGGAGAGGATGGTTTGGGGTAGGCAACGTAGAGGCAGCACAGCACTCATGCATTCTCACAATGGTTCACTCATCAACATACATTTACTGAGTATCTGTTGCATGCTGGAAATATAGCCGTGAACAATACAAGAAAATAATTCTGTGACTTCTTAGAATTCGTACCGATGACATGCCAAGTTCTGAGGATATAGAGGTGATTAATAAGACTCAGTCTCTGCCTCCTTGGGCCTCCTATGTTCTTTTTGTTTGGGAGCCAAGTCTGCATATCCCAAAGGACATGAATTTCCCAAAGGTGTCGGGGGCCCTGCAGTGGTTCATGGGACCTCCACCCCCCCCTTTTGTAAACAGAGATAACAAGCAGCAGCTGCTCTTCCCCAAGAAGCTCTGGCATTGCTCTGAACCCACAGAAGCCTGACCGCTGCTTTCTAGGTCTTCACTAACACAGGAAGAGTGAGACAAAGGACTTGTCACCAATAGGAGCTATCTCCTGACCCATCCTCTAGCTTCTGATAAATACCATTCGCTGGGCACTTGACCTGTGCCAAGTACCTGCTAAGGGTCTCATGAGCAATCTCTCATTTAATCCCTATACATCCCTCCAAGGGAACCATTAGCAATCTTCTTTTTATAGACTCAGAGACGTACAAGGACTTGACCAAGGTCAACAGCTATTCAGTGCGTACTCTACCTCACTACGCAGTAATGCCTCCCACCTTTTGAAGTTTCTGGTTAAACAGACATGAGAGCAAAAGTGGGCGTTCCGCAGATAATTTCTATAATGCATGTGCTGCCTTAAAATGGACAAAAACCATCCAGTGCATGAGAGAAGCAGGCAATGGGAACGTGAAGGGAAGGCGTCTTATACAGAGTCTCAGTCTGCCTCCGGAGGGTCTGAGGTGCTCGCAGGGTGAGCAGGAAGGCTGCGTCTCCTCCCTTCAGGAGGGAGGAGGAAGGGCGTTCACGGATGGGTGGCTCCTGCTCTGGACTGGCACACACCACATCTCCTGATCCTGGCACAGATCTGATAGGCACTGAATTTGCCCCCTTTTATTGAGGGAGCAACTGGAGTTTTGGTGAGGTCGTGCCCCTGGGCCAGAGGTCCTATAACGAGTGGCAGGGGTGGAAGATTTGATCTGCGGGGTCCTCTTCATAATTTCGGGGGAGGATTCAGGAAGAGGAGGCTACCCTCCCCTGGGGCCGCTTATTCCTTGAAATGTGTTGCATCCTTAAAATAGTCAGGAAGTGAAGAAGTATTATAAAAGAGGAATTCAAAAAGAAACATTCTGTGCTGTAAGAAAAACAGCCTTATTTTGCAACTCTGTATCTTCTATTACAAAGGTATTGAGTAAAGTAAGTTAATATTTCCCTTTCAGAGATATTGTTATCATATCTAAATTATTGTGGAATTTTCCAATTAAGTTAGCTTCTAAATGATACCTTTAATTAGCCAGGGAGATAAGCTGAGCAGATAATGTGGAAATCTTGTATAGCAAGGTCCAAGGTGACAGGTAAAGTCCCAGCAAAGGTGGCAGCTACCTCCCTGACAGGGAAACCTTGGCTAGCGAGCTCCAGAAAACCTGTGCTCTCCACAGGCCTGTTCTGGAAGCAGGATGTGGGCAGGGGTGGGAGAGCCACCCGAGGCCTCCTGGAGTGAGAGCTCCACCACTAAACGAAAGATCATACATTAGGCAATTCACACTTAAGAACATTCATTAATTCTGCAAAGTGCTACTGGACAGCAGAGGCTAGTGTCATGCTGGGAACTGGAGACAAAAAACATGGAAAATCATAGCCCCTGACCTCAATGAGCTCAGAGACTAACAACGGAGAAAGGAATGCAAATAATAACAGTAGTAGTTGCGGTAGTAATAGTAATAGTGGCAGTAGTAGTAATAATGATTAATAATAAGCCACACTTGGGAGGCAGAATGGGTGAGATTGAAATACTATG